ATCATTTATTTTCAACCAACTGGGTATTGAATATTTTGCCGATAAAATAAAACACAATTATTTTGAATGATATCAATTATGCTTTTGGTATAGTTGTTTAAACATGGATAGTATTTTACAGTAATTTAGAACATACAGGGTGGCCCAACGAAAAAGTCGCACCCTCATTTGTGGCTCTCCTGGTATATTTTGACGAAATCGCTCGGACACGTCAATTTTGATTTCTAGGGTGACGTCTTTTCATCTAAAGCCGTACAATACAAAATAAGATATTGCGTTATACTTCATATTTTAAAATGGAAACCTCAATTTTTTTTAAAATTTTTAGTAACTTTTGTATAGTAAAGTTTATACGTATGTTCAATCGTTGTTAAGCTAATTGAGTTTATAATAAAATATGATAAACTTAACTTAAGATCGACAATAATGGAATGCACGGTAAAAAATAATAGTCATGGATTTCAGCATCAGTCAGTGTCATCCTATGTCATAAAAAACATTGTGTTTCATTTCAAATTGTTAAGTCACCTACCTAGTTGTAATACATATTCAGCAATGATTCAATTCAAGAAAGTGTAGAAGTGTAGAAAACTGTGTTACCAAATTGGGACCATTGCAATAGCTACTGCTTGGTGGTATAATGGGTTACATCCAGACAAAAATATTAATGATCAGTATGTGGCTGAGTTGATAAAAAAATTTTAAGAAATTGGGTCTGTGTCTAATATTCCCCGTAATCACCATCTTGAAATCCGACTAGTTCGAAATGAAGCCGCAGATATAGCAGTTGCAGGATGCTTAGCACTTGACATCACCCAAAGCACTCGTGGACTGGCTACTTCTTCAGGATTTACACGTTCAACAATACAAAGAAATTTGAAAGACAATAAATTTCAGCCGTACGAGATAAAACTTTGTCTATAAGCTTGATGAAAAGGATTTTGATAGAAGGTTGGAGTTTTGCGAATTAATGCCCCAACGTTTAATCAACAATGCAAATCTGTTATTTGATATTTGTTTCGCGGATTAGTGTACGTTATATTTACATGGTGCTGTAAATAGTCGATATTAGAGTGACTCGAATCTACATTTGTTTCGAGAGGTACACTCGCAATATCCAGAAAAAATAAATGTGTAAATTTTCGGAAATCATATTGTAGGACCTTTCTTTATTCCTGGAAACTTGACGGGCGATACGTACTTGGACATGTTAGAACATACAAAAGAGCCACGAATTACAGAAACGATAGAAAATGACGTGAATCATAATTTAAATTACATTCATTTTCAACAAGATAGTGCACCGCCGCACTATGTTACTCCATTACGACAGTTTTTCCGAATCAGTGGATCGGCAGACGAAGCCCCATCGAGTGGCCGCCGAGATCTCCGGACCTAAGTCCTTTGGATTACTTTCTTTGGGAGCATTTGAAAAGAAAACTTCTTAAAACGGCCAGATTCCATTCAAGATCTTCGTCAGCGGATTACGGCTGAATGTAGACAAATCACTCAAGACATGTATGAAAATGTGAGAAGTATATTTGAACAAAATCTTATTATTGATTAATATTGCATGGAGCTAAATGAACACCACTTTCAGCACTTTATAGCAAATTAATTTTGACTTTAACGTTAATGTGCGTTTAAATTCTAAGTTGTTTGTTAATATCCGGAGACTTGTTTTTAATTTTAAACTAAAGTCTTGACAAACTATTTAAAGCTAAAACTAAAATGGTGTTATTGAAAATAGGACAGAAAGGATCATTGAATTTCCACTGAGTTCCATAAATAATTACCTATATCACTATTTTTAGATTGTTGAATACGCATGGATATCAAAGGCTTGTAAAACATTTTGTTGATGAAGCGGTGATGATAGGTTGCTTTTTCAGATCAGATTTTCGCTAAAGTTGAATTTCCAAGTTCTCATTAGTGATTACAAGATTCTACTGTTACATCAATTTAAAATTCTTTCAGTATTCTATCTCTATCTTTCATCACGAATTTAAGCTGGGATGTTAGCGGACACTTTTTAGACGCGCATGTGTATGAAAAGCAAATTTTAGCCCATCTGTCAAACAAGAAATTTTGTGATTAATGTTGTCCAAAGAATGTATGATGTTTCAGGGAAAGTGTATAACATCATTTTGGAAAGAAGTAATTTCAAAATTTCCTAATTCTAACAAATTTCAGTTTAGTCTTTTTAGCACTGACCATTGTTTCACAGAACATCAAGAAAATATCAGTAAAAACATCGATATTGTGCCGGAACTTGAGTAGATTTGAGGATTACTGATGAGTATAGGGTCTAACAAACTACTGGAACTATTAGATGGTTCCCTAAGAATTTGGTGGAAGCTATAGGCATCGGAACAATTATGTAATTTATTATCTGGAATTAAAAGATTTATGTTTATTTCTCCGATGACCACAACATAGTCAAAGCGGGGCATCAAAGAAAAGAGCACTATCAATAGCATTAATTATATTATTATGGGAGGGCGATAAGTTTCCCCAAAATCAATGACTTAGGTAACATATTTTCAATTTAGTTCAACATATATCTCAAGTGAGACAATAATAATTGCTAGATATTATTCAATAAAAAATGCCTTATTTCTATCAGCAGACCGTCTCGTAGATATTTCGCCGCCAACACAGGAATAAAAGAAAACATGATTATACTAAACGATATTTTATTTACACAGTATATACAATAATTTTGCTCACAACCTATATGGTTTATTCCTTACATTACTTTTAGAAGCCTTAACTTTTCCACCTGATTTGTTTGGCTTTGTCTTCCTTGTAACCATCTCATCATAGATCTCCTTATACTTGGAATAATCGTCCGGCTTCTTGACGACAACTTTTTGATTATTTCGAAGAAAGGTCCCAGATGAAGGCAGAGGTCGCTGTACAGTCACTTGGTTCCTCATCCTCAAAAAGTCTTCTCTCTTCTTAAGTAAGGCGATGTTCAAACGCTGGTTTAAAACAGGATCTCCTTTAACGTATTCCAGCCAGGAGCGATTAGACCGTACTGCTCTCAGTAAGCCATCGTCATCCAGATACCTCAATATTAGGCACCAGATTTCGGTTAGCAATGCAGGCAGGTAAGTCACAGCTAACAAAGGCAGAATACGAAACATCTTGAGTGATAATCTCGGATACTAATGACGTACCATGCGCAGATCTGTTTCTTTATACCTGCCGTTTATCAGTGAAGCGTAACGATGACGTATGAGTTATACGTGGACCAATAACACAGCATGATGACGTTGAAGACACGTCATCAGTAAGAGGTCTGTCACGCATGAGCGGCATAATACAAACGGACCAGGCGAGTAAAGCCTCCTGAGTAATGTAGAATGTGTCCAGTCATCATAGTTATCAGGCTCAGTTGAAACCACTTAGCTCTCAGCGAATCCAAAGGACACATTTCTACTTCTAGCCCATACTCCTTATAGTTTTACTGTGTGCAATACGCCTAATATTCAGCGGGCCATTAATGCCTGGTCAAGCAGCGACAAGCGAATATAAACGGCGAGTGCTTGCTTTGTCGCGGAGTGTACTTTGGTTTGAATACCGTATAAGTCTAATTTCTTTTTGACTTACGGAATCTTGTTTCGTTAAAAACAATGAGTATTAAACTTAAAATACACGAGCATCATCCCTTACTGAATTACATTCACCAGCCGCAACCTCCCTATGGCGCCTTTCAGAGCTTTATATAATAATATTAATCTTCATTAGGAGCGAACTTTAGCATAGTGCTATTCTGTCACTTAACCTCAAGAAGGAACGTACAAAATACAAAACAAAAGATTTCATTGTTCCAATAATGAGGTAAATATCAAAATGTTTATAAAGTGAGAAGAAAATTAGAGCAAATCACGAAAATATATTTTTTGACTTTTCTTTTAAATTCATCATATGTTAAAAATTTTGAGGTTTGTCGAGTTTCGCTAAAATAAATAACAAGCAGTAACGGAAGTATGGCGTCTTCTGAAGAGGCATTGAAACGAACGTTCCTTGAATTAATATGTTTTCCAGATATAAGTTAATTTTTCAGAAACGGGGGCATGGAGTGGATTCTCATTAGCCCAATAACAACAATTCTGCTGGATAACCATGCTGTTTAGGTGAAAGTGGGCTCCGTCACTAATAAACAAAACGAAGTTCTTATTTTGATCGATCAGTGCTTCCATCTCACGCGCGAAGTTCATTCGTTGTGCATAATATCCGGGCTGTAACTGTTGCACAATGGCCAATTTGTAGGGGTGAAAGCGGAGATCCATATGCAAAATTCGCCTTACCGAACGATCACTAAGGCGAAGTGCAGCAGCATGTTTCCGGGCAGATCGGGTCGAACTGCGAAGAAAGACCTGTCGAACGCGTTCATCATCTTCAGAAGTTCGAACTGTTCGCGGCGCTCCTCTTGGTCTTCTGTTGATCAGTTCACCACGCCTGCGAAGTGATTCAACCCAACGAAGGATTGTGTTTCGAGAGGGAACAGCTCTATTTCGATGAATGTTGGAGTGGCGACGAAACTCACGCTGTACGACGATGACTGACTCATTATTTCGGACGAAACAATCATAGGCGAAAACGCGGTGCTCCACCATCCAAGGCTCCATAATGACAACTGTTGAAATAATGCTAGGATCTCACGAGTCAAACGGCACCCTTCCCACCTCTCTCGTAGACGGAGAGTACTACCCATCCCAAAAACGTCCGTCCTCTCTGCCTCACCCTGTAAGATTATGGGGAGATCGACAAGTTGTCCCGAAAATCCATGACTTAAGAAACCTATTTTCAATTTAGTTCATAGGTATTCAACATATATCTCAAGTGATAGACAAGAATAATTGCTCAATAAAAAATGCTTTTCTTCTATCCGCAGACCGTCTCGTAGGTATTCCGCCACCAACACAGGAATACAAGAAAACATGATTATACCAAACGATATTTTATTTACACAGTATATACAATAATTTTGCTCACAACCTATATGGTTTATTCCTTACATTACTTTTAGAAGCCGTAACTTTTCCACCTGATTTGTTTGGCTTTGTCTTCCTTGTAATCATCTCATCATAGATCTCCTTATACTTGGAATACTCGTCTGGCTTCTTGACGACAACTTTTTGATTATTTCGAAGAAAGGTCCCAGATGAAGGCAGAGGTCGCTGTACAGTCACTTGGTTCCTCATCCTCAAAAAGTCTTCTCTCTTCTTAAGTAAGGCGATGTTCAAACGCTGGTTTAAAACAGGATCTCCTTTAACGTATTCCAGCCAGGAGCGATTAGACCGTACTGCTCTCAGTAAGCCATCGTCATCCAGATACCTCAATATTAGGCACCAGATTTCGGTTGGCAATGCAGGCAGGTAAGTCGCAGCTAACAAAGGCAGAATACGAAACATCTTGAGTGATAATCTCGGATACTAATGACGTACCATGCGCAGATCTGTTTCTTTATACCTGCCGTTTATCAGTGAAGCGTAACGATGACGTATGAGTTATACGTGGACCAATAACAGCATGATGACGCTGAAGACGCGTCATCAGTAAGAGGATTGTCACGCATGAGCGGCATAATACAAACGGACCAGGCGAGTAAAGCCTCCTGAGTAATGTAGAATGTGTCCAGTCATCATAGTTATCAGGCTCAGTTGATCCCACTTAGCTGTCAGCGAATGCAAAGGACACTTTTCTACTTCTAGCCCATACTCCTTATAGTTTTACTGTGTGCAATACGCCTAATATTCAGCGGGCCATTAATGCCTGGTCAAGCAGCGACAAGCGAATAGAAACGGCGAGTGCTTGCTTTGTCGCGGAGTGTACTTTGGTTTGAATACCGTATAAGTCTAATTTCTTTTTGACTTACGGAATCCTGTTTCGTTAAAAACAATGAGTATTAAACTTAAAATACACGAGCATCATTCCTTACTGAATTACATCCAACAGCCGCAACCTCCCTATGGAGCCTTTCAGAGCTTTATATAATAATATTAATCTTCATTAGGAGCGAACTTTAGCATAGTGCTATTCTGTCACTTAACCTCAAGAAGGAACGTACAAAATACAAAACAAAAGATTTCATTGTTCCAATAATGAGGTAAATATCAAAATGTTTATGAAGTGAGAAGAAAATTAGAGCAAATCACGAAAATATATTTTTTGACTTTTCTTTTAACACTTTAACTACTATGTATACAAAAAATGATACACATCTAACTTTTATGGATAAACTATGTGGTCACAGGCATGGGCTAGGTTTGATCCGTTATGTACGTTATGTGGTCACGCTTATCATTGAAATGAATGCATGTTCTATATAGTATAGTTTATGACGAAAGATTGGCCAAATAGTTTTACCCTTAATTCATAGATGGAAGCACCAAGCTGTATAGTAATTTAGTCGTAACGTGTACGTATTGTTTACACGTTTTGGTCGTATGTCGTAGTTGTTTCTTCTGCTCATCGTGCTCGGTTGCGTTCTTGAATGCAAAATGGGTGATAGGGCTTTAACCGATAAGGAGTTGGAGGGAATAATTAATAATATGAGCGATTGTGAATACGAATCGGACGTCGATGACTCAGTGGGTGATCCAGACTTCGAGAATTTCAGTTCATCAGAAAGTACCGATAGTGAATTCGATGCTGGCACTGCAAGAAAAAGAAAGAAGCTAGAAATTTGTGTGGAAGCAAATGCAAATGTCGGGGCTATAGACACTCCTGTTGACAGTGAAGTGAATTTGTCTGAAAGCAGCGAGAGTAGCTCAGATGAGTGCAGCCCCAACAGAGATGTAAGTGGATCACATAAAGTTCGAGTTATCTGGAATGATTGTTCAGGTAAAATAAAGTAAATTAGGATTTATTGCGACGCTACAAAGTATTTTTCTCTTCAGGAAATTTGAAGGATCATCCGTTCAATGCCAACCCAGGATTCTCTGCAGAGTTTTTTGCGAAAAGAAGCGGAGATGAGCCTTTAGACTTTTATAAGCTTTTCTTGGCCGATATCATACCTATGATAGTTCAAGAAACAAACCGCTATGCGACGCAAAAAATTATATCATGCATAGCAAATGAAACTATCCAAAAAAATTCACTATTAACTCACTGGAAAGATACTAATGAGTCTGAAATAGTAGCATTAATAGGAATGCTAATTTGGATGGGACTAGACAAAAAGCCGACACTGAAAGATTACTTTTCGCGCAATATACTATACAAAAATGATTTGGGAAAATACATTGGAATGTCAAGAATGCGGTTTGAATTGCTTCTATCAAATTTGCATTTTTCAGATAATGAGACAACAGATCGTACGAATCGCATATACAAAATTCAACCATTAGCAGACGGTCTCATTACTAATTTTCAAGCTGCATGTATTCCCAAAAAAGACGTATGTATTGACGAAACAATGATTCCATTCAGAGGCCGACTTAGCTTTCGTCAATACATACCGGGTAAACGACATAAATACGGAGTAAAAATTTTCAAACTGTGTGCGGAGAAAGGTTATACATACAACTTAAAAGTATATTCAGGCAAGGAGGACAACCCGACTTCACAGTCAGTTGCTAGTCGCGTAGTTCTCGAACTTATGGAGCCTCTCTTAGATTGCGGACGTCTACTATGCACAGACAACTTTTATACTAGCGTTAGCCTCGCACACGAACTTTTGGATAGAAAGTCACACCTTATTGGGACTCTGAGAAAAAATAGGAAATTTAATCCAAAGCCAATTACAGATGCAAAACTGGAAAAAGGGGACTTGATTGTACGTGAGAGTAATACCCATGTGATAGTGGGAAAATGGAGAGACAAAAGAGAGGTCTTATTTTTGACGACCGAAGCAGTGCCTGAAATGACTGGCGTACAAACAAAACCAGGTGTTGTAAAAAAACCATCTACTATTGCAAAGTATAATAGTATCAAGTCTTTTATAGATGTGTCTGACCAAAAGGCTTCCTACTCGACTACTGTTCGACGCGGAATAAAATGGTATAGAAAGGAGGCCATAGAAATACTCACAAATACTGCAGTTGTGAATGCTCACATAGCATATAAATTTTTTACTAAAAAAACTATAAATATAACCAAGTTCAGGGAGGAGCTTGTAAACAAACTTTTCAATGAGAGGCATAATATTATAGATATTCCATCTGAAGGGATCTCTAGGAATCACAAAATCATCGAGATAACATCAAGGGGTAGATGTACCAGATGTTACAAAGCTAATAGTGAAAGAAATGGTCGAGCCTATGCAATGGCAAACACTCCTAGGATTAAAATGCATTGTCAGGGGTGTGAACACAAATTTTTATGTATGAAGTGCTTTTTCGACACTCACAACTGCAGTTTACGTAAATGAGAAATATGGTCATGCATGATATACATACTTTAAGGTGATCAAGCTGTATTTTTTTTTATATAGACTGTGTGTACTGTACCCGGACACAGTCAAAAAAATATTTTTTTGTGGAAAAACTTGTTGTTTTCATTCTGTTTGTATACTTAAATATATCAAAATATATTTTTTTGAGAAAAAAGTGTACCAGTTTCTGTTGAGTCATGTATCATCAGCATGCGTAGTAGTCAAAGTGTTAAATTCATCATATATTAAAAATTTTGAGGTTTGTCGAGTTTCGCTAAAATAAATAACAAGCAGTAACGGAAGTATGGCGTCTTCTGAAGAGGCACTGAAACGAACGTTCCTTGAATTAATGTGTTTTCCAGATATAAATTAATTTTTCAGAAACGGGGTATGGAGTGGATTCTCATTAGCCCAATAACAACAATTCTGCTGGTTAACCATGCTGTTTAGGCGAAAGTGGGCTTCGTCACTAATAAACAAAACGAGGTTCTTATTTTGATCGATCAGTGCTTCCATCTCACGCGCGAAGTTCATTCGTTGTGCATAATATCCGGGCTGTAACTGTTGCGCAATGGCCAATTTGTAGGGGTGAAAGCGGAGATCCATATGCAAAATTCGCCTTACCGAACGATCACTAAGGCGAAGTGCAGCAGCATGTTTCCGGGCAGATCGGGTCGAACTGCGAAGAAAGACCTGTCGAACGCGTTCATCATTTTCAGAAGTTTGAACTGTTCGCGGCGCTCCTCTTGGTCTTCTGTTGATCAGTTCACCACGCCTGCGAAGTGATTCAACCCAACGAAGGATTGTGTTTCGAGAGGGAACAGCTCTATTTCGATGAATGTTGAAGTGGCGACGAAACTCACGCTGTACGACGATGACTGACTCATTATTTCGGACGAAACAATCATAGGCGGTGCTCCACCATCCAAGGCTCCATAATGACAACTGTAATGCTAGGATCTCACGAGTCAAACGGCACCCTTCCCACCTCTCTCGTAGACGGAGAGTACTACCCACCCAAAAACGTCAGTCCTCTCTGTCTCACCCTGTATGATTATGGGGAGATCGACAAGTTGTCCCAAAAATCCATGACTTAAGAAACCTATTTTCAATTTAGTTCATAGGTATTCAACATATATCTCAAGTGATAGACAAGAATAATTGCTCAATAAAAAATGCTTTTCTTCTATCCGCAGACCGTCTCGTAGGTATTCTGCCACCAACACAGGAATAAAAGAAAACATGATTATACCAAACGATATTTTATTTACACAGTATATACAATAATTTTGCTCACAACCTATATGGTTTATTCCTTACATTACTTTTAGAAGTCGTAACTTTTCCACCTGATTTGTTTGGCTTTGTCTTCCTTGTAACCATCTCATCATAGATCTCCTTATACTTGGAATACTCGTCTGGCTTCTTGACGACAACTTTTTGATTATTTCGAAGAAAGGTCCCAGATGAAGGCAGAGGTCGCTGTACAGTCACTTGGTTCCTCATCCTCAAAAAGTCTTCTCTCTTCTTAAGTAAGGCGATGTTCAAACGCTGGTTTAAAACAGGATCTCCTTTAACGTATTCCAGCCAGGAGCGATTAGACCGTACTGCTCTCAGTAAGCCATCGTCATCCAGATACCTCAATATTAGGCACCAGATTTCGGTTGGCAATGCAGGCAGGTAAGTCGCAGCTAACAAAGGCAGTATACGAAACATCTTGAGTGATAATTTCGGATACTAATGACGTACCATGCGCAGATCTGTTTCTTTATACCTGCCGTTTATCAGTGAACCGTAACGATGACGTATGAGTTATACGTGGACCAATAACAGCATGATGACGCTGAAGACACGTCATCAGTAAGAGGATTTTCACGCATGAGCGGCATGATACAATCGGACCAGGCGAGTAAAGCCTTCTGAGTAATGTAGAATGTGTCCAGTCATCATAGTTATCAGGCTCAGTTGATCCCACTTAGCTGTCAGCGAATGCAAAGGACACTTTTCTATTTCTAGCCCATACTCCTTATAGTTTTACTGTGTGCAATACGCCTAATATTCAGCGGGCCATTACTGCCTGGTCAAGCAGCGACAAGCGAATAGAAACGGTGAGTCCTTGCTTGGTTTGAATACCGTATAAGTCTAATTTCTCTTTGACTTCCAGAAACCTGTTTCGTTAAAAACAATGAGTATTAAACTTAAAATACACGAGCATCATTCCTTACTGAATTACATCCAACAGCCGCAACCTCCCTATGGAGCCTTTCAGAGCTTTATATAATAATATTAATCTTCATTAGGAGCGAACTTTAGCATAGTGCTATTCTGTCACTTAACCTCAAGAAGGAATGTACAAAATACAAAACAAAAGATTTCAATGTTCCAATAATGAGGTAAAGATCAAAATGTTTATGAAGTGAGAAGAAAATTAGAGCAAACCACGAAAATATATTTTTTGACTTTTCTTTTAAATTCATATGTTAAAAATTTTGAGGTTTGTCGAGTTTCGCTAAAATAAATAACAAGCAATAACGGAAGTATGGCGTCTTCTGAAGAGGCATTGAAATGAACGTTCCTTAAATGAATATGGTTTCCAGATATAAGTTAATTTTTCAAAAACGGGGGTACGGATGTGATAGTTTATTACTATGGGAATTATATTGATTATTACTTCTACGATATAGTCCCTTATTATCAAAATTTCTAGAATTTTACTATAAACTCATATAGCTTTACAATGATTGAAGGTAGGTGTAAACTTTATTATACAAGAGTTATTAAAAACCTCAAGGAGAATTTACAAATTAAAAAAATGGGGGTTCCGATTTAAAAACCTTAAGTGTAACGCAATAACATATTTTTGAATCACCCTGTATTGTACCACTATGGATGAAAAGAGTTCTTCCATAGAATTCAAAATCGACGTGTCAGAGCGCTTTTCCCAAAATACTCGATTACCAGGAAAGTCACAAATGGGGGTGCGACCTTTTCGTTGTTTAACTCTGTGCGACCAAGAATTCACATAATTTTTTATGGAAGATTTAGTGGTATTTGTCTGCAATTAGGGTACGTACCATTAGATACGTTTCTAGTGCAAGACTTTTGAAATGTTCGATAAATCTTAATTTTGTGTCAAAAACAACACCAAGAATTTTTGCAGATTCGGAGAACTGTAAGTGTTGATTACTTATATGAACCTTCAGGCGTGAGGTTAATTAACCCTCTTCTTTGGGCACAAAATAATAACATATAAAATTTTGAGGGTGTTGTTCACAATTAAGAATGGATCGTGGTGAAGGTGTTTCTGAATAAACGAAAAGTGATCATCCACTTGCATTTGAAAGGCCAAACTGCTTCCCAAATCGCTTACAGTGTTAACAAATCCAGGTATACAGTTTGAGATATTAAATAATTTAATAATATAATTATTATAACGAATTGAAAATATTATGGAATCAGGTAACCACAAAAAAGCTTTCAAGAGCAACTTGTCACAGAGCTGCCCAAAAACTGGGATTTAAAACTTACAAGGTAGGCTTAAATTGTTTTTTATTATTCGTTTTTAATTCAGTATTTCAAGGAAAAAGAGTAGCCCTTACGGAAAAAGATGCAGAAAAAAAACAGACTAGAGTCATAGTAGGAGTCGTATCATAAGAACCAAAGAAAAAGTGTTTCAGAATAATTGTCTTGAAAAAAGTTAAGTTACCGGCTTCTGTTATGATTTGGGGGTCCATGTCAGCAAGTGGAGTGGGAAACTTACACTTTGGTGGTAGGGATTATGAATGCTGATAAGTACTTGAACAAATGCGTTTAAAGAATATTGAGTGTATCTATATGGCTCATACGGCTAAAAAAGTAAGAGATTGGAGGCTAGAAAACAATATTCCAGTTTTAAAATGGATGTCGAGTACTTCAGATCCATCGCCGATTGGAATGTTGCGAGCCTGTCTCTAAGAAATTTGAAACAGTTTTACACCAGATGACTGCCAAACATTAGTTGACACTATGTCAAGACGTATCGAAGCAGTAATCAGTCGAAAAGGCGATGTAACGCAGTGGTGATCTGCTGCTATTTGGTTTCGTTGATTCTTATTGATCGGCAGTATTTTTTTGAATCTGTAAGATATTTTTACTTTGTTACAGTATTTTAGGCTAATACTAAATATAAAAATCGTATGTTATTAGAAATACATTTTAGATTTTAGTATTTTTTCGCTAATAAGACAAATTTCATAAGAAACGTGGTTTTGATAGTTGGGCCAACTTCACTGAGACAGGGCTCGTATATCATACAAAAAAGGTAGATGTTATTTAAGAGTACATATCTACCTCTGACCTCTAGAAACCACTCATGCAGCCTTGGATGCGAACCGATTCCAGAAGGTTTATTTTGCGACGGTTTTGTGTGTTATTTTCGCAGAAGTGCCCTTGCGTTCCCGGTAAATAAGATTTTTCACGATACCCTCTAACAAGAAAATTATATTTGACAAGCTAAGATCCCTAGATGCCGGATATATTTCACGTTCTCATGAAATTGTTACACAATGAACACAATACACGATATGTTTTCAGAAAATGAGTGACTATTGATTGAGTTTTGATTTATACAATATACGCACTCACGCGACAGTGACACAGTGCTTGATGTCACTATGCATTTGACATCATAAATTGGATATAAAATCAATGGTAAGATATTATCCGTAATGTTGGCTGTTTTACATTATTAGAAATGTATAAGTAACGTGTGTTCGTAATTATCACTCACACTTTCATAAGTCAGTGTTTATTTTACTAATACTAATACATACTAATAAACTGAAATAAACGAATAACTAATACATGCTACATAACTACGAGTATATCCATTCCTACCAATCGTAGGTGTTTGAAAAATACGATTCAATAAAGATAACTAAAATTAAAGAAATCAAAGCACTATTTTATGTCCAGATAAAAAATGCGTGTTCAATAAGAAGCCTGACACTCCGACTCACTGACAATTTTTTTAATGTTTGAAGTATAATTTGATACCGCTATTCGAATATCATTATAGAATTGTTCATATGTAAGTCGATTATGGTGTTTAAAATAAACTTCATATTTGAAAAAGAAGATTCACACAAATAGGTTGAATCGAATAACACTTTCACTATCAATGCAACACGACATAAAACTGTATATTTATCTTTACTTACTGAAGACCAGATACACTTTGTATTTGAGACTAATGGTTTTAAAGCTAAATCATTTTGAAACGCAATCACTTCCATTTCTGTCGCAGCGATGTCTTCGCTAAAATTCTGCGTAACAGAAGTTGCAAACTGTTGGGTATCAATCAATTTCCATGAAGGGTGGAACAACAAATTGCGCCACTATAGCAATTCCGTTGAAACCTTATCCTTCAACTATTTCTACATGATATTTACTGTCATATGGTTTTAATGGACTTTGAGATATCTTTTCTGAAAGAAGAGGAAAATGCCTGGTATCGGCATTGATTAAGTTTTGTTCCCAAAGCTCAAGATTTTTGATAAGCGCTTTTGTATTTAAAATCATTTCTGCTTGTTCTTTGTCTCTCCCCTGAAGCTGCAAAGTTCATTTAACTTTCCTGTAATATCCACAAGAAAATCAGAATCTCTAAGCCAAATTGAATTTTCCAGTCCCGGAATCGGTTCAACATGTTGTTTGAAAAACTGAACTATGACAGATATTGAAGAATGAAGGCTTTCACGGCTAATTCTAATGTAATTTAGGCTTTTCGGGCTGTTGAGCCGTGGTCGGGTTGGATTTAGTCCATAGCTTTCGGCTACATCTGCGGTAGCCATCTTCAGTGGCGCTGTCGGCGCGAGCGAAGTGCTCGGCTTGGCGGGTCGACTGAAACTAATCGGTGAAGACCATCTAGACCAGAGTTCCCCAAACTTTTTTGTGTCGTAGACCCCTTGCCATGTTTTTCCGTGTTGGGTAGACCCCCTACTTACCTGATATTGATTTCCTGTAAATTTGTAACTGTAGTGAAGTTTAGTGTTAAAAACTTAAAGTAAAAACACATGTTAATTTATACATTTATTAATTCAATTTAAAGTAAAACTACTCAAAATAAAATTTTGTATCTGTTATGTAAAATATACGTAACATTAAATAAACAGGTGTCTGACCAATAAGTGCCCGCATTGGGAATAAGTGCCCGCATTGAAAAAAAAAATAAGAGGGATAAGATAAAAAAAAGTGAAAAATAATAAAAAAAAAGTTTTTTACTTAAAATAGTACAATAAGCGAGTTCGTTTATTAATTATAACATAAACGTATGTTCTGCAATAATTTCACTGTTAGTTTGATTGAATTCCGCTCCTTATACGTTTAAGTTATCTAAAAATAGGCAAAACATGGATGAAAAGGATGAACCTGATGCTTTAATAATAAATTATCAACATTTTGCGTCAATTTTGTAAGGGTTAATCTTAAACCTCCTCGGCTACTGATGTCCAGTCTGTTTCTTTTTTTCGTTAGGAGATTGGTAACAGCGCTGAACCCCCTTTCCACTAGGTATGACGATGGAAAGGAAATTAAAAATTTCCACGCTATATTCCATTATACGGGATAAGTAACGGGTATGTTGTTTTGCATCCAGAATTGCTGATATCCGATTTTAAGCTGGACCTTAAGTTCTTCGTCTGTACTTAGTTCAGTCAGTTCCTCTTGTATTATGACATTCGTTTCTTCTATGTCACCATATGGATTAATTATCCACGGTGGTATTACCATAGTCAAAATATCCTCAAACCTAGATTCAAAATCTGAATAGAGGGCATTTAAATGTTGAACGTAAGTTGAAACGTCGTCTTCCTGGCAGCTTGTCTGTGACAAATTGGAGAACTGAGAAAATTCGCCCCGTCCAATATTTTGCTTCATTAGTTTAACTCTGGCAAGAAACGCTGATAAGATGGACTTTGTTTTAATCAAATTTAAACTGTCGCCTTGTAATTGCAAATTAACCATATTAAATTTTGTAAACAAATCTGTTAAATAGGCGATGTCTGTTTTCCTCTTCATTAAATTTTCTTTTAAAATTTTATCTTTAGTATACAGAAATTCTAAAATAGTCTCAAAAAGTGCAAAAAATCTTGTCAAACATAAGCCTTTCGGCAGCCAGCGTACTTCAGTGTGAAGGAGTAATTGATGAAAGTGTTCGTCATTTTCTTCACACAACTGCGCAAATAACCGCGTATTCAACGCGTTGCTTCGGGTTCGGTTTACTGCATCAATGACTAAATGAAGTGATTCATGCAATCTAACACTCAAATTTTTAGCAACTAAATGTTGTCGATGGATGACGCAATGTATTGCTAACACCCCTGACACATCTTGTTTTAAATAGCTTATAAATCCACGATAACGTCCAACCATGGCAGGTGCTCCATCTGTAGCTACTGATATTATATTTGATAAAGGAATTGCTTTTTCAATGAAGTAATCCTCCAAAACATGAAATATTGATTCACCTCTAGTGTCGGTAATCAAAGTTCTTGCGAAGAGCAGTTCTTCGTAGATTTCTTGATTCATAATAAAACGAACATATGCCAATAATAATGCAGGATTAACAGGTAAAGTTGACTCGTCCAGTTCTATAGAGAAATGGGTCGGTTGCAAATAATTACATAAGAAGCTTTCAATATCAGAACTCATTCCATCAATACGTCTTTCAACAGTATTGTTGCTTAATGGAATTCTTTTAATGATATCAGATGCAGGTTTGTGTAAAACAGTTTTTAAAACCTCTTCAACGGCTGGCAAAATTAACTTCTCTCCGATAGTATGCGGTTTTCCGGATTTTGCTATAAGTAACGAGATATTGTAAGACGCCCGTAAACCATCATCATTTCTTTGTGACGTCGAAGCGAACATTCTGTCCAGTGTAGGTCTCTTCTGAAATTTATCTTTGAGTGTTTGAAAGTATTTCAAATCTTTCTCTGTTTTATCAGGGTGACATCTTCTCAGATGATCTTGCAGTTTAGATGGTTTCATAGCGTCATTGCCCAAAACTTTGTTGCATAAAAATTAAATTATTTAAATAAGACAGAAAATCCAGCAGATGTATATTAAAAATATTTTTTTATTTTTCCGAAAACATTCCATAATTCGAACATCTTCTTGCAACAATTAGCTCAAATTACGGAGATTGCACTGTAATTATATTACCGATTGCTAAAACTTTCAAAAAGAAACTATTGAGGAGTACTCGTGTAATTTTGCATGATTGAATATTTAACTACTAATAACTAAAGTCATGATTGGCGTAATTTATCTATCTTTGCTAACTACAAGTACAAAACTAAAATTTGATAAAAAATAATGTACTTAGTTTTCTCTAGCACTCTCAAACAAAATAACACTGATTCACTATAATTTGTGTTTATATTTTTTCAAATATTTTCTTAGCACTTTCCTTTTCAAGATTCAGGAAACGAATAAACGTATTTGCCCCACATTCGTATTTATAGAGTGACGAATTGAACAAGTCAGTGCAAGGTAGCGAAGCTCTGAGACTGCGACTCTCAGGTTTTTACAAGTTCAAAATGTATTGCGACCACAAAGCGAATACCAACATCCTACAACTTAAACAATTTTATAAACATATATAATACATTTTTTACTTCATAGGTACTTTTATAAATAATGTATATGTTTTGATATTATAAGATAGTATGATGTAACTAAATAGGTACTATCAGTGTATGTGTTGAGATCCACTATCGTCGACCCTCATATTCATTTTATGGACCCCTAAATTTACTCTACCATCAGACTTCAGAGTGAAGGAAGTAGTTCCCCGTATTGACAGTCAATTTCATCGGCCAAGGTTTTGAATAATCTTCTTTGTAACGCTTGAGCTCTAATCTTGTTCACAATTTTTACTATCAATTTCATAACGTCTTTTAGTTTTAGAACATGTCCACATCATGCTTGCTGATGGATAATGCAGTGGTAACAGAGAACATAACCCCACGAAACCCTTATCACGACCCACCATAGCTGGAGCGCCATCGGTTGGCAAGCCCACCATTTTCGATATTGGAATTTTCTCAGAAAAAATAATATTTTTAAAAGAAGAAAACAAGTCCTGCCTAGTAGTTTGTCCTTTTAGTGGAATAAAATTCAATAGATCTTCTTTAATCGTAAAATCACTAAAAACCATTCTGACGAACTCGGCCATCTGAGAGGTGTAAAGGACATCTGTGGATTCATCCAGCTGCAGTGAAAAATTAGCACAGTTATCGAAGTCATTTCTTAACTATAAAACTATATTATTGCTTATTACTCCTACTCGTCTCATTACTGTATTAGCAGAAAGTTGCATAGATTTTGTAGTCTTTATTTCTAAAGTTGGCAAATAATGAATCTGCAGCTTCTAGAAACACCTGTTTTATCATTTCCCCGTTTTCATAAGGTTTATTTTTTTGTTTAATTATCTGGGACACCCGGTATGATGCTTCAGTTGCAGCCTTACTCTTGTCGATTGTTTTTAAAAACATTGTCTATTGTCTAATTAACTGATTTTTTAATTGTTTCAGTTTTTCCGTTCTGGTTGCAGAACGTAATGGGAATAATTTTTTAAAATTCGGATGTACAGTTTTACAGTGCCTCTCGATATTCACTTTTTTAGCAACCGAAACAGATGTATTACATAATAAACATACAGTTTTACCTTTAACTTCTATAAATAAATATTGTGCTTCCCATTCCGAATGGAAATGGTATGTCTTCATCTTCTTACTACTGCTCATAATTTTTTTCATTGCAGGCCAACTCTAACCCAACCACTGGACTTCATGCCGTTTTGTTTTAAACTGAGCGTACTGTCGCCTTGCGTATTTATTCTTCAAAGTAATCGAGATCGTTCTCGAACAGATCGCTCACCGCAGAGTTGTCGCTGTTTGTGTTTATTATGAGAATTTACAACATTTACGGAAGCTTATATGATTTTTACACCTTTTTAAAACATGTTGTGAGCCACCAGAATTGTCTTTGCGAGCTACCGGTAGCTCGCGATCGACGGGTTGGCGACCACCGTCATAAGTCATGTATTGAATATGACACTATTTGGCTCACTTTATTTTTCAACAATGAAATAGGAAGAAATCTATTTGTGACTAAAGGTGACATACCAATTGGGACATTTTGTCCATGTTCATGTTTCAGATGGCAGAATCGGAACACGTGTTTGAATAATTGCCCATGGAAATGGCGCTGTAGATAAACAAATTATTGAAATTAAAGAAATGGTACTTCCACGCGTTCATATACAGACTCTAAATATACGAAGGTGGATCCCTTGCTGCACCCCTTACCGCTTTGCAGATTAATAGTTGATGCAGATAAGAAGTTAGATAGTAAAACAATTTAGGCTACGCTCACAAAATATGTGCGCTTTTCAGAAAGGTCTTGCCCCACTTTATTTTTCCAACGGGTCAAGTTAGCGAACTGAAGAGGGGATGATGAAATTGATGGTTGAATACTATATTTCAGTGCGAAAATGTGTAGTAGCTGAGCGCCATCTTGGATGATTTTTGCTATCACTTTCGCACTAAAATATATCTAGTATTCATCCGTCAATTTCATCATCCCCTCTTCAGTTCGCCAACTTGACCCGTTGGAAAAATAAAGTGGGGCAAGACCTTTGTGAAAAGCACAGTATAAGCTTGAAATGTTGTGAACGTAGCCTAAATTGTTTTACTATCTAACTTCTATCTTCAAAAAATATGCAACTGCAATTTTTTTTAAAGCGAATGGGGGTCATATGATACCTCTTTTTTAAGCTTTTTATGCGTACTTTATAACGTTGGCGTACGAATACACTAACTTTGAAAATGGTGGAAAGTTACAACTAATTATAAAAACGCTACAGTATGTCGTAGCAATCTTCTTGTGCCTAGCTGAATGTGCAATAAAATATGGACCATTCCCTTTAATTATTGCACAGATTTTGACATTGTTTAAATAGAGTGTGTCATATTTTATTAGACGTTCGGATGGATCCTTCCTACGAAGGAATATTGATATAACTTACTCTAGCGTTTTGATGATTGGTTGTAGAATTGTAAGCAATCAATGCACAATAACGCTTAAGTTTTGACAGCCAACCAGTCCGATATTTTGAAAGATATTGATTTTATATTCTGGGTTTAAGAAGTAAAAATGAATTATCGTATGATTCACCATACCATTTAAATACCATATTCCAAGATGACACTCTACCTTTATCTGTGGATTTTCAACTTAAGATTTTACGCTGCAATATAGCATCCATGCAATGACTTTGTCACTTCAAACTTCAGCTTGTGAACTCCACCAGTACATACGAGGGCGACCTTAGTTCATGAGTGACAGGGATTTGAAGAGGATTGGATGCCGTTGACCAGAGAGCCGTAGTAAAATAACAGCAAAAAAAAGGTATGGTGCCCACTCAAATTAAAAAAATATTCTGGCCATTATTGGAGGGTTTGCAGTTCATAATAGTGTATTAAAATGCTGGTGTAGGGATTTTAAGAGAGAAAGAAGATCTTGTGAAAACTAACATAAGGGTAATGACGTAACTACTAACCAAAATATTAATAATAAATTATAGTTTTGAAAAGCTAAAAAAAAACACGCTTTAATAGCAAATTGAAGTGAAAAGTAGAGAATAATTTCATTAAAAAAGTGTGAGGTGCAATCAACTGTATTTTCATAATAACTACAGTTATGTACATAGCAACTACAAAAATAATTTCACAACATCAACCACCCCATGATTTATCACTATCATTGAATTTTTTATTAATATCTCAATCTTTACTTTCTATTGCTGTAACACATATTCTTCTATACTTGAAAATTATTTTCCACTCATTAGTTCAATTTGCCAAGTGTTTTTTAATTATTTTAAACCATAACTTATTCTGTGAATTTTTAGCCTCAAAACGGCATCAAAAGTATTTATGAAGAGCTTCGATTTTTGGTATATTTCATATTTGATAATACATCCAAATTTGCTTCAAAATCTTTTCAAATTTGGAAATTTCATAATTTTTTAAATATTACCGATTTTTTCAAAGTTTCCAAATCCTCAAATTATTTTCCAAATTTCAGAATTTTACAATTCTCTAAATTTTCAAATCAAATTTTTTACAAAATTAAAAATTCAAATTATTAATATTTTCCAAGATTATTGGATTGTCATCGGCTCTTGACCCTTGTACAAATTTTCAATTTTTTCGGACTACTTGAAGTGGGTGGAAATTAGGCTGAAAGATTCCGTTACACATATACAGGGAAAACCAGATTTGTCTGACGGCTTGAGTTCAATGTGTACGAGAGAGAAGCACAAGAAGTGTGTATCAACACATGTTCGAAAGGAATAGAAGCCGGCTGAAGACCGGAGGCCATCTCCACATTGTCTCGCAACGGTGATGCAGAAGGTCGTGCAATCTGCCGCGTTGCCAATATGTTACACCAGAAAATGTTCGCGCAGGCCGCTACAATAGGCTAGGTTGCTGTTAAACACAAGGAGAACGTCTATTCGAACATTTAATTTAATAGTCTATTTTTATTTTGATTAGAATGATCTATTTTAATTTTGATAAGACTTAGTGATGAGCCTCGCTATCCAGTCGGCTTCTATCTCTTTCTTGCACGTGTGTCTATACACACTTCCTCTCGTACAACTCATCAGAAAAATTTGGTTCTCAGGATATATAAATACATACCGGTCAAGATAATAAAAGCGTGTTGAAAAGTACATGATATGGAGATACTATATACGATAGACGTTTAGCAAAATGTGCAAGCTTGTTCTCAAAATTGTGAGATACTTATGAAAAAAAGTCGGGGGAGGTTAACAAGTGGCGTGCTGTTTTATCAGGGTAATGCTCCCAGCCATGTCACCTACATTCCCATGACTACCCTCTACTAAGTAGGCTTTGAATTGGCATTCGCTAGTCAGAGGCCCCGGATTTTCATAATATTTCCAAAATTAAAACAACATT